TCTTTAGGGGACTAGAAAGCCCCATCTTTCTCCCGCAAACAAGCTAGTGATTTAAATCGAATTGCTGACCTGGCAGTTAGCAGCCCAACGCGTTATCATTACACCATCAGGACTCCTTGTCTCCATTTATATAATTGTAGCTTTATAATCCAGGCCCATTTAAAATGATCACGTGTGAAAAACAGGCAGATCTTCAGACCGTGGCATTGGTAAATGCTTCTGATGTAAGACTGAGGCTTGGATTCTGGTAGCAGTGGCAGTGGTTACTTGAGTCAGTCTATGGCTCAAAGTTATTCAGTTTTCTGAAAAATGAAGGTAGTTATTTCTCATTTTGTCATACAGATACAATTACAGAGGGGAGAGTAGTTTCTGTTCCCCGGAGCCCTCGTGGTATAGTGGTTAAAGTGGTTAGCACTCTACCCGCCAGCCACTCCTTGGGAGAATGTGGTGGCAGTCCGCTCTTAAAACGTTTTACAGCCTTAGAAACTTTATGGAGCAGTTTTCTTCTGCCCTACTTGGGAATCCACTTAGCAGTGGTTTCGTTGTTTTGTGAAGTCCTGAAATGACCTCCTTACTCTTATATACGTAAACTTTAAACTGACAGGATATATGGAACAATTTTTAGATGTATGCATTTAAAAGGAGCTCTTGTGGTATACTGGTTATGAGTTGGGCTGCTAACGGCAAGGTACACAGTTCTAAACCGCCAACCCTTTGTTTGCAGGGAGAAATATTAGGCTTTCTAATCCAGAAACCACAATAACAGTTTTATCATGACTTATGGGGTGGCTATGAGTGGTGGTGGACTCTGCGGCAGTGAGGTAGCTTTTGGTTTATGCATTTAAAACATTGCGCTCCTTGAATAATGTGATAAAACTCTTCTAATGCTAATATGAGTAAATTGTAATCAGAATTTTTAAGAGGTAGTTTTAAAATGGATAACCTCAGGTATTTTGTTGTGAAAATTATAAGAACAGCAACAAACTTGGCAAAGTGGTTTTAATACAGACTTATGGAAGTTCTTTTATGTTTGTTAGTATTGTAAGCTGCCCTTTGCAAAACTTGGAGAAGTTGGGGGGATGGAAAAACAAACTGGATAGTTTCACAGGCTACTGTTAATTTCATTTCTTAAGATGAGCTGTGTGATATATAATATAATTAATATAATACAATATACAATACAATATAATATATATACTATGTTTCTTTTAAAACTGAAAAGAAAAATTCTTCCAGATTCTTTATCCCTCAAACATAAATA